GGAGTTTTTTTACTGAGGGTGGTGAGACCCTGGTAAAGGTTGCCTGGAGGAGCTGTAGATGCTCCATCCCTGGGAGCATTCAGGGTCAGGCTGGATGAGGCTATGAGCAGCCTGATCCAGTGAAAGGTGTCTGGGCCCCATGGCAGGAGGGTTGGACTGGGTGATCTTCAGAGGTCCCTTCTAATCCCAGCCATTCTGTGACCTAGTGAAGAGGTGAGAGTTTAGATCTGATGTAGAACCCTTCAGTCACTCCCTTCACGTGGATCAAATATGTTAACAGCTACCTTTCTATGAAAATACTTTTTTAATACTCTTAAAAGATATTTCCCCTGTGGAAGGTGATCAGAATGACAGATTTCTTTGGCTTTGTTCTGGAAGCCCTGGTGAGGCTGCCTGTGTTTGTGCTGTTGATGGGGTGGGGGAGGATGGGGTGGGGTGGGGTGGCCTTGTGTGGGTCATGCCCAGCTGATGCAGGACCAGCTCTGCTTCTTTCCCAGCAGAGGACGTGGTGAGCGTGGGGTAATGGGTGGGGGATTTTGTTCAGCAGCTAAACCATTCCCTGCCCTGGGGTGAAGAGGAGCCCAGGGCAGGAGCTGGGGCAGTGGGTGACACTGGAGTGCTGGAATTTGGGGCACTTGGGTTCTTTTCACAGCAATGGTCTGGCCTTGGCTTCCTCCTGTGTAAGTCGGTGCATTTAGGTGCAAGGATGCTTTCCAAATTGGTACTTAGACAAACTGGCAACGTTTCAGGAAGGTGTATTTGGAAGTGGCACAATCCCTGTGCCCTTGCCAGCAAGTTCTTGACCCCAGTTACTTTCTGTTTCATTTCCTGCTTTCATCCATTTTGTCGCTGTTGTGAAAAGAAACCAAAGCAAAACCTGCCTGTAGCAAACAGGCCAGAAGCCTCACAAGCAGCCAGAAGGATGTGGCTCTTTCTTTCCCTCAGCTGCTTCACCTCTGTCTTCTGTTTTGTAGCTCCATTTGCTTTGTCATTAGTGGAGGGCAGCAGAGGGGCCTCCAGCTCTCAGGGATGAGTTAGGTGCCTTAGGTTGCCACGGGCCATTTCTGTGGCAGTGAAGGTAAAGGCTGGCTGTGAGGAGCTGCAGAAGGACTTTGTGACAGCAAGTGACTGGACCATAAAATAGCAGGTGAAAATCCAGGACTGATAAATGATGTGTGTGTCAGAGCTGCAGTCATAGTGCCAGTACTCTCAGGTGTCTAAATAGTTTCAGACTCTCCAACTTGTAAAAAGAGGCAGCAGGAGAAGGGATAACAGACTTTGATGAAGGCTGCTGGAGGAGCTGAGTAAGGAACAAGGATTTCTTGCCTTTTCAGCCAGATCCTGGGGTGTCAGAGTGGGTGAGCAGCAGTGAAAGCAGGGGGCTGTTAATGGGGTTAAACTGTGGGGCTGGCACCATGCTCCTGGCCTCTCCCTTGAGAGCAGCCCCTGCTCAGCTCTGTATCTGGAGGAACTCCAAGGCTGACCTTGACTGACCATCCTCTGTTCTCCTGCAGCACCAGGATTTCTCCTGAGCCTTTGAGAACACCAGGGGCTGCAAACTCTACCTTCATCCTCTTCCTCAAGAAATTCCCAGAGCTGGATCCTCTGCCTGGGCCTGAGCAGGGCCTATGTATCTGTATCAGTTCCAGGTATTAGCTTGCTTCAGAGAACTTTTCCTAAGTTCTAAACTGTTCAAACTCTAGCCTGCTCTGCTTTTTAATTTCTTTCTGTCTTTGTTTTCTATTTTATTGCTTATATTTCTGATTCTACAAGATTCTTTCTGTCATACTTATTTAAGGCTTAAGTTCTGAGACTGAAGTGTTGGTTGCTGATGGGTGTTGGAAATCCAGACCCTGCCTTGCTCACAAGAGATAGGAGAGGGGCGAAAAAGCCCAGATGTGTGAGGAGGCAAAGTGACTTGCTGTGGTTAAGTAAATTTTCAGTAGCAGATCCAGAGGTGGGGGAAGAATAAAATCCCCTTCTACTCTCGTGCTCTTCTGACTTGAGACTACCCACTGGTTTTATAGAAGGGAGATGGAAACTGAGGAGAACAGAGGCTGGCTGAAAGCCACAGAAAGATTGCAATATTTGCTGGGCTGTGAGGTTTCCTGCCTGTTTTGGACTTTCCTGCCTCTCTCACTGGAATAACTGAACTTCAGATCTCCTTATTTCTTGACAGTCAAAGCTTTCCTCCCCTGCCCCTGCAGGAGCTTGTGCTGCCAGAGGTGACGTCCCCAGAGCAGGGCAGTCTGGAGTATCACACCTAGGAGGAGTGGGAAACTGAAGATCTCTGCAGTGGACTTACACAGAAACCACAAAGTAAAACTTCTGCTTCTAATGCTCTAAAGTGCTGCTGGAGGATGTGGGTAAAGGCTTATCCAGAAGCATTTAGACTTCTGGGAAATAAGTAGCTGGCTGTAAAATTTTGCAGCTGCTGCAGTAAGAGAGAGACTGTGTGAAGAAATACAATGAGACTTGAGTGGGTATGGTCAGAAAAAGAGAGCTGATGTCCATGGGGCAAATCCCAGGGTATAGAGAAAATTATGTCATGTTAGTGCTCCACCTCATTGAGAATGTTCAGATCTGTTGTTTCTGACTGTCTTCTGCCCCCTTTTACTGGGGCAAATCCCAGGGTATAGAGAAAATTATGTCATGTTAGTGCTCCACCTCATTGAGAGAGAAAGTTCAGATCTGTTGTTTCTGACTTTCCTCTGCTCCCTTTTACTTGCAAGCCTCTCCACACTTCTTTGCTACACCCTTTTACAGTGAGGAATTCATGTTTCTTCCTTGTTTGCTGTGCACTCCTGGAAAGCACTGGAGAATTTTGGGGACAGCTGTTTTTCTCTTCTTGGCTGACTGGCAGAACTAGGTTAAGGAAAGCTAGTCCTTTCTGAAATCTTCTGAATGATGGACCTCCTCTGAGGAAAAGGAGTGTCACCTCTAGGGTGTGACTTGCTGCTCCACTCTTGGGCCAGTTGTTGGAGCAGATACTGCCGAGCCAGCTCAGAGACTTGCTCACTTAAACTTTAAGTTTTCTTATTACCCCTCATGACTTGATAGTGACTTTTTCAAGCAGAAAACCCCATTTTCCTCCTGCTCTAACTGCTGGAACTTCTGAGAGCTGGTTGCCATCCCACCACTGCCCCAAGAGTGGGCTTTGCCTCTTCTACTAGAAGCTGTTGCTGGAGGAGCAAAGCACCAAGTTTTGGGGGATGCAGGTGAAGGAGCAGTTTGAGAGCAAGTGCTAGCAAGCTGTGCTGTCCTTTGTTCACCCTGTTGGCCTGTGATAGTTTCATCAGCTCTTTGTGTTTTGTCCCAGGCTTCCTGCTCTGGTGTCCTCCAGATGATGGCGAAGATGGTGAGGAGAACGTGTGCGTTTTGTTCCGAAGGGGAGGCTGGGTCTGTCATGTACATTGCCAAAGAGCAAAATATTGCAGCTCATCAGGATTGTCTGGTGAGTGCCTGTAGCTGCTTGGTGGCTAAGATGTGATGTTTTCCTATGTATCTGGCTCTGATCAGTGGTTCTAGACACACACGTGGTCTGGCAGTAGGAGCAAGTTGTCTTGAGAACTGCAGAAGGCCTCCCAGACCACAGAAGGTTGTTTACTTACTTGAACCTTAGTGGGAAATTACATGACTTGAAATATCAAGGTAAAAAACTTCCAGTCTGTGCATTATATAAAGAATAAAAACATCAGAACCTGATTATATAAAAATACCTGTGAAGCTGGAAGCGTGCTGGGATCCTGGAATGTATTTACTCTTCCTGCTGTCAGAATGTCTCCCCTTCATTATGGGATCTTAGTGGAGCTGGTTTTTGATGGGCAGAATCAACCACATATTCTGCCTCCACTGAGGGTGTTGAGTGCAGGAGACAGCATTTGCTCTGGCTTTCACTCTTCCAGCCTTCTTACTTTCAAAGGTTTTATCTCTTTATTTTTCTATTGCTTTTGTTTTTAGTAGAATGTTTCAGAAACATTTTATGCCTATTTTACAGAGTTACTTGTATGTTTTGTTTGAAAAAACAAGTTTTGTTATGGCTATAGTGTTCCTCCAATGCTGGAAGTTTTTCTTGCTCTCTCTTTCTCTCTCTTTGTTTTCTTGTCCTCAGCAGCTTCACTGATTTCTCTGCCATGGGCTTCTCTGTGCTGTTTGGATTTTTTTCAGTTGGCTGTCACCTTCTGAGCAGACAGCCTGTGCTGGCCAGTTGAGATAAGGGCAGCTCACTTTTCTTTGGAACTGGCTATATATAAAGATGAGAAAAAAGCTGCAAAAAGCTTCCCCTGCCTCACTCCTTGTCATGGCTCAGCACCTCTGTGGGACTTAAAGTGGCCCAAATGTGCATGTACACGTTTTGTGGGTTTCTCCCAGGCTCTGTACAATGTTGTGTGCTTCTCATGCAGTCAACTCTTGTCAACCTTTGACAGGGTGGAAATTTTTATTTTGGAGAAATGTTGCACCCTGCTGTAAGGCTGAAGGACTGAGCAGATAAGATGTTCAAGGTGTGGTCTGTCAGCTGAAGAGCTTCTTACTCTGGGCAGCCTGAACTTCCAGGCTTCCCTCATTCTAACTTCACTTCTTCACCTTGTTATCTTTCTTGGTTTACCTTTAGGTCATGTAAAATCTATATAGACAGAGGAACTTCTTTTGGTTGGGAAAAAGTTTAAGCACAGCTCCTTGGTCAATGTAGGTGAAACCTCTTAAAAAACACAGAGAAAAAACACCCTTCTTAGGTAGGGCAGGGGCAGGAAGATAAGATCTACTCTTCCTGTGTTCTGCACTGGTGACTGGGCTCCTCTCATTTCTTAACATTGTCTCTGTTGTCTTTAGCTATTTTCCTCAGGATTTGTGGAATCTGAAGAGTATAACCCAGATAATCTGGATTTAAGGTTTGATGTGGAATCAGTGTTGAAAGAACTCAGGAGAGGGAAGCGGCTGGTAAGGAGTCCTGCTGAGTCTGCTCTTGTCCTCTCGTGGTGCTGAAGGTTGTCTGGCCTGTTTTACACTGAAAAAGAACTGCAGCAAAGTACTTGGTCCTTCTGAACTGCTAAAATGAGGGAAATTACAGATTTAGAGTTAGAAACATTCCTTTGACATTCTATTTTGTGAAATTTATTTCATTTTGTATCAAAATATGGTGTTTTGTCTGGTCTTTAAGTCTGTTTCATAAGAGACTTTGGTAAAGGCCTAAGCCAGTGCCTGAAACAAAGTGATGCAGTTTTGTAAGGGTAAAAGGAAACACACTCTGATTTTAACAGAAGGAAGGTGACTTGCATGAGGCTTTCTTACTGGCTTTGTCTCAGCTGCCCACCTCCCTTACATCTTGGGTGGAACTCTTTTAATCACAAAGCTAGTCCAGAAAACAGAAATATAGGCACTAATACCAGTAGAGATTGAAATAACTTGGGCCACATTTAGGGAAGTGGGGAAGCTGCCCTCACACAGCTCCTTCCATCATTTTACAAATTCATCAGTATGAAACAGAGGCAAGACAACAAAAAGATGGCTGAGATACTGAGCAGGGCAGGAGTCTGCCAGAGTGAACTTGCCTGATGAGTTCTACAGAGCCAACTTGCACCGATTTTACTTCCCCCCCCAGAGGACAGCATTTCCCTTGTGTAGGAAGATTTTTGTGGTAGCTGGGTGTGGTGCTGACCTGCTACACCTCCTCCTGTTGCAGATGTGCAACTTCTGCAGGAAGAAGGGGGCCACGGTGGGCTGTGAGGAGCGGGCCTGTCGCCGCAGCTACCACTACTTCTGTGCCCTCTGCGACGATGCCGCCATCGACACCGACGAGCTCCACGGCGTCTACCGGTACCGAACCTGGCTCCTGGCTCCTTCCTCACAGGCCTTCCTCACTGGAAGGGAGCCTCCAAAACTGGGCTGGCTTTTTTTTTTAAGAAAGAAATGATGTTCTTCTCTCAAAGTGATGCTTGATTCGATGTTGACCAGCAGCAGGGGAAACGTTTTCCTTTCTCAGGGAAACATCACAGCAGTGGGCAGGCGTCTGTTCAGTGTTTGAGCCTGGAGCACACCTGAAAGGTCTCCAGGCCAGACCTGAGGAAGTCAGTCCTTACTGACTCACTAGCTAGTCTTCCAGGACCAAGTGTTTTTGTAATGTTGCTCAAATTCTAAATTTCTGCTGATTGAGAAGCCCCAGTGGATGCAGACTGCCCACAGAGCAGGCTGTAGCACTTCTCGATCTGTTCACATTAGGCAAATTCTGGTTACTTACTCTCTGTGTGCTAGCAGAGGGCTTTGTGTTCCCACCAAAGACCCTCTTGTATTTCAAGTACCTTCCTAGCACTAACCATGTGTGTGTGTAAGGTTTCAGTAAATCTTCAGTCCTGAGCATGCCAGTCTTGGTGCCTGCATTGCTCTTGAGAGAGAGAAGAAGTTGTTTGGAGCAGGCACGTGAAGGGGTTGAGAAACTGGGAGTTTGGGGACCTCCTGAAGTGCTAAAGTTATAGTGAAGCCTGAGGTGCATAAAACCCCCAGTGTCTGTTTCTGTGCAAGGCCAGGGGAATCACAGGCCATGTTAGTTTTAGCTTAATCTGGTAGACCATCTAATCAGTGCTTGTTTCAGGAAGGTGTGGACAAGGGGACAAGGGCACTCCTCTTGGTCCAAAAGAACATTTGTACTTCCAGCTGCTTCACTGGGGCTCTCAGTCCAACATTAATACATCTTTTTCAGTGGCTGTAAGCTCAGCTGTATAGTAAAGACATTTAGTTTATGCTTATAAAGTCTTTGGCAGTCTGGGTTAGGGTTGAGATAACGAGAGACTCTGACCAAAGTGTTTAAACAACTTTGCTATGCACATCATTTTCTTTTGGATATTTGTTAAATGCTGCATTTCCAGTGTCAGCCCTTTCACTTGCATGATGGGCTTGTGCTGATCCTCATGTCCTGGATGTGTTTGCTGTCATGGTGTTTGTCACCTGTGGTTGCATGAGGTTAAATGGGTATGTGTGTGTGGCTTTGCTGATTTTCAGTGGTCTCACCCAGTCTGCAGGGGAGACAGGGAAGGAGACTCTCAGTTTTGAGAGTTTGGGCTGTCCTTGGAGTGTCCAGGTCAGCGTGCTCTCAGTGCTGTGTGTTTTGAATGTTTGCCAAGCTTTGTCTAGAGTTATACAGTTGTTCTCTGAGAGCATCACCCAGAGATCTGCCCCAGGGCTGGATAGTTACGAGCAGCAGAGTGTGTCAGAGAGTAGCAGGGTGAGGCAGGAGAGTGTGACCAAGTGCCTAGGCCAGTGGTCACCCCCAGTGTTCTGGAATTTCACCCCTGAACGAGTGCAGAGTCCTGAGAAGCTGGTGAAGCACTCACAAAGGGTGTGTTGTCAGCCTGGCAATCCCTAAGAAACACAAATCATGGCAACAAATCATGTGTTGGAGCCTTGCCCATGCCTACCGAGTGCTCCTCAGCACTCTTCAGTGCCCTCAGGGGGAAGAGGAGGTCTCTGGACCTAAAACCAGCCCAGCAGATGCTGCAGCTGACCCTCAGAACCAACCCCTGCCTGTATGAGCTGCCCCAGTACAGAAGAAGAACTCCACAAAGAGATCAGCCCGTGTAGTGAGGGATGATGATGAACAGGGGCCGTGGTGACACCAGGAGGAGGAGCCAGAGGTGGTCACCCCATCCCTGCCCCTGAGTGAGCTGCCAGACATACGAAAGGGTTTCACCCATCTGCCTGGAGAGCAGCTCCTCACCTGGCTGCTCCAG